GAGGTATCACCGTCTTTTAAAACGGTTGGACAAAAGCACAAGTGTCTTTGAATTCTTATAATTTTTGACTTCTTTTGCTTTTCTTCTTTTGTCGTACAGCAGGTTTTTAGCTAAGGCAACTTGCGTTCGCATGGATGTAGATCAATCAGGAATCTGCCAGTGTGACTCTAATACCCAATACGATGGAAAAGAATGCTACGAAAGACCAATGATTAGATGCCCGTACGATTGGATTTCCGTTAACGATACTGTCTGCCTTCCTCAAGAAAGTATTGGTAGCCGTTGCTTGAGTTCGGCACAGTGTAAAGGCTGGGCACACTGCATTAGAGGTGTATGCAGTTGTGCACCTGGACATAAGGAACTTAATCAAATTTGTCGTTCATTGAGTCAACTTAAAAACTAAGGGTTTGAACTGTATTTGGTTTTTGGAAAAGAACATGCCAGAAATTTTGGTCAGACAAAATTTTGTTGACTACTGTGAAAAAAATTAATAATTTGATAACTTTTCTGCTGTTTTAGAAATTATGAATGCATCTGTTTACAGTAAATTTTTTTCAATGAGAATTTTGTTCTCTCTAATAAATACCGTCTTTTTTTGTGTTATCAATTACTCGGGTGATTTCGGTAATGGAACTGCTATGCTGAAAGGAATCATACTTGTTGTTGTTTCTTTTTATCGTTCCTCGTTATCATATTTTAAGAATAAATGACACTTCTTTTGTTATAGCATATTTGTAATAGCAAAAGATTTTCAACAATTTAATTTTACAGGAGACAGGTTGGAACAGAACCGTTAGTTCTAATATCGGTACTTGTAGAAAACTTTAATAATTGATATTTTTTATATATTCAGTCTGCTCTTCGTGATCTAAATCAGTAGTTCATTTACGGTTTTAGCCGATGTCTGTCTTAACTGATGGTTCTTAAAGAATAAGCAGTATAGACGCCGACGTGAAAAAAATCGCTGAATTTATCACTTCCTTGAAAACAAAACGTGCCAGTACAGCAGCTGCCTAATAAACTTAAAATTAAATCTTAAACAGTCTTTTGCTTCAATTGGATAACCTTTCATGATTATTTAGCGCCTTTTCAATTCGTAAGAGGGGTATAAAACTCAAAGGATATTGAAATGAGCGTATAAAAATGGAGCCTATAGATAAAATAATCATAGTTTTCTTTCAGGAAGTTGAAAGTTTTGGAAAAAAAGTGTTACTTATGAGAAAATTTTACTTTGTCATCAACTTTTATTTTAAAATGCGGAAGAAGTTCAACCTAACGCATCAACAAAATTTTATTACATCTCACTCCACTGCTTCCTTAAAACTGTATCTGCGGAACTGATATTTCGCTACCGCTTAGTTTTGCTGTAACTTTTTACTGACTGTCGGTACAACAAAATAACAAATTTCACATTAAATAATACTTGACCCATCAACCAGACGAAAATCACTTTTGACGAAAAGACAGTCTTTTGATTATTTGATCTGTTTATTTTCATTTTATTTTTTATTTTTTGTCTACCACAGTTGATTAAAAAAATATTTAAGATTTCTGCGTTAAAAAAAAGATTATTTTAATTCCTGTATGCTCTAAAAAAGTATTACAAAGAAATTTCTGATTTTTCGCATGCTTCTGAATCTTAAATAAACCTTCAGTTTGTTGGTTTAATTTTGTAAAACGGTTTTTGTCCTCATCAGTCATTTCTGATTCGTCTCCATATGATGCAGTTTTATCCAGTGATGCTATTCTCTTCTTATAATGGTTCTGTTTTGGTTCTTTTATAGTATTTTTCAGTTTATTTGTTCTTCTAGCTGACTGCTTCTTTGAGGAATTTTTTTACCAGTGTTTACTCCAGATATTCTCAGATTTTTGCGTCAGTCGGATGAAGAAATTATCAAAAAAGTATTCTAAACAATACACATGCTGGCAGTCACTTGTCATCCGGCCAAAAGAAAACAGTTATTTAGTTTCATAAATGGTTCATTGAAATGCAATAATTTTGGTGGATGGGTGCAACCCACTGAGTATTAAATCAACAAATTTAATAACGCAGAAGACCTTCTAGAGCGGATACTATGTGCTAATACAAGCTAAATTTTTGCGACTTATTGCAGAAACGGTTTGCGATATTATTAGGCAAAGTTAAAGTTTCGCGTCTTTCGAAACTGGCCGCCTTTTTTGAAATTGTCCTGAACTTCCCTCAACAAACCGCGAGCTGTCGGTGGAAGACACGGCGAAAACTTATTAATTTTTGATACCCTTATCATTTTTACAAATATTAAGTAGCCGCTGCCATGAAGGCCGCTCCGCTACGGAAACTGTAAGGAGCGTTGTGCCTGACGTAAATCACTTCCACAATGACGAATAGCATTAAACTGAGCATAATTCTACTGATCTGTTCATGCTTTTTCTCCTTATATATAAATAAGGTAAACATATTTTAATTCAAAAAAATTCTTCTAGTCCTGACATATAAAGCTACGATTGGCTGTACCGTTGCAACTGGCAAGATCCTTCGCAGGATCGTTATCTTCTTCTCACTGGAGCACTCATAAAGCAAACAAATTTATACTTTGTATTCCTGACTTCAGCTTGAGCTCAACTTTCCAGTTTTGCTTTTGTTTTCAGTCAATCACTTACATTTGGATGACCGTCATTTGTAGTAAAGCGTATTATTTTATTTGCCGCAGGTTTAACTGTAATTAATTCTAACACAGCATTTCTGTTACTGTAGTAATATTTTATTATAAAGATTTGATTGGCGAAGCCTGAAGACTATTACATAAATGTGTTTATTCAAGACTGTTACTAGTGAGAACCAAGAATTGGCAAAATAAAACCCCTATTAATTTTGCCGGAATATTTCACTTGAGCCGGTAAAATTTGCCAAGACAGATTTATCATAACACTTGTTTATCGAAAAAAAAATTCCTGGAATAGTAACGAATATATTTGTTGTCAAATAATACAATAAATATGGATGAGAAAAATACAAATAAAGCCTTCAGAACCAAAATTACGCTAAAAATAGAAAGTCATTCTTTAGCTTTAATTACGGACCGGTTTCTACAGCAACAAAAAAAAAAAACAAAGAAGTTCGTACAAGAGTACAACTTTACATCTGTTTATTGCAAACACAAAAAAAACCAAATAAGGAAATTTTCAAATTTCTATAATGCACACTACAGTTATATTTGTGAAAATAATTGCCAGGTAACCTGTCTTGTAGTATTTGTAAGTCTTTTCTAATTGACTCATGAAGTAAGTAACGAAGGTTGTTTTAGGTTACTGCAGAATTTTTGCTTGTTGCAAAGGAATATCAAACAGGCTGTGAATTATTTATTGAAAAGCAAAAATTTCTTCAATTCTGCTGATGTATAGCAACTTGAATTTATCAGTTTTCTTCGGCAATTTAGTCATAATGTTCCAATAAATGAAACTTATTTAAAAATAAATTTCATTGCAGAAGAAATTTGAGAATTTAGAATTTGAGAATTTGAGAAATCGATCTTTACCAAAAAAAGTGGAACTGTTAGTTGAATTTCGTTTTATTTTTTATTTAATTTAATGTATATATGCTTCCGAGAAAAGTAATTAGATATGAAAAACTCCAGTCAAAAAATTTTGCTACTTTTACTTTATAATCTGCGATAAAATTAGCAAAAAGCTATTCAAGGTATTATAAAACTGACTTTGAATGTATTTTCTGGCAAAAAGTTCTATAAGATCAAAACAACAAAAATTTTACGATATAATTAAGTCGACAGTTACAGAATTCAGAATTACCAGTTTGCCATAAGAAATTAGCAGCTTTTAGGCAAAAAAGAAAGTTGAGGAATTTGAACAGCTTCGTAGAACTACACTGCCTACCAAAAACAAGTACTGGCCATTCCAAACCGACTATAAAAAAACCTTGAAGACAGCTTTTGGCACCAAAATTGAGAGGAAGGAAAACATTTGTTGCAAAGGCTACTTTAATTATTACATAAGTCGTCCTCTGCCAACTTTGTTTTCCACGCTTTAAAATGCTTTGAAGTTTTCGGCTTCACTTGCTGGTGCAACTGTAACATCATTTTCTTCACAAAAGACTGTCTATTGATATTGGTTAGCACAAATTTGGTATATTTTGGCTTGTGCCAGTTTCCATTGCACTTTTTGCTTAGCTTTTTCGGATTGGCGTTTCGCTGTTCGTCAAGCCTCAGTTGTATTATTCTGGTGAGCTATTGCGTGGTCTGCTTGAGCTTATGCTTTCATGTTGCTCCTCGGTATTGTTCCCAGGAGTAATAAAGTCGTTCAAGGAATATTTTTGTTTCTCCTTAAAAAACGAGCTGGTGCTGTAGATATGGCACCAGGAGGCCTGTTGAAATTTCAGGAACATCGTCTCAAAGTTGCTATTTGACAGTTTCCATGTACCGCTGAGAGAACTGAAATTGAACTTCCTTTGTAGTGAGTGTAACGAATCTAAGTCAAAACCATAGTTTTCTGGCAGGTAGGGCCGATCATCTATCCTTGGCCGACTGGCGATAGATCTCTTACCATGTCGTTTGATTACAATCTAGAGGAAATGTTTTGCTACTGTTTTTACCGTCTTAGACTTTTTTTTTCTTTTGAAAGGATAACAGTAGTTTCCAGCATCCAAAATTGTTCGCTGTTTCATTGAATAGGACGGGTGCGTAGTGCTCCAATAGGAAAGAAAATAACTGTAAATTTATCTTTCTAGTTCTTTTCCTCTTAACTTTTTTGTTTTATAGCACGGTAAAACGGAACAGAGCGACCCAACCAAAACCTTGAAAAATAGGTTTTAAATGTCGACTTTAACGCGATTACTTGAAACTAAATATCAAATCTTTTCATTTAAAATTTAAGTTACCCAAACTCCTTTGCGTTGCTTTTATTTTTGCAGTTCAAAAAACAAAGACTAAGATGCAGCTCAACTTGATCTTCAAAGAAAAAAGTTGAATTTTTTTGAAGTGAATACTATTTCTAGAGCTGAGCTTGCGACGACAGTAATAAGAACACGCATAATACAGGTTGCCAAAAATCGATTTGAGTGAGAAGCGCCTTTCTTTATCTGGTCAGATTTTCGAAGTGTCTTGACTTACATCAGAAAAATCTCGTTCAACTCACTATTTTGATTTGCCCTTAACAGGATTTAAACGATTTAGTGTCGTCTAAACAGAAGCATTGCGAACACGACTTCAAGGAACACGAAAATTGTCGATTGCAGCCTATACAAAATTTAGTTAGAGGACTCTCGATGGTTAGACGGCTGACAGAAACGGCAAAAAGAGTCTTTCCAATAAAGTCCAAACACTTTACATGCGTTGTAGGAAATACTCGTAGATAGCAGTACTATCGAACAAAGAAAATTAGTTTTCTTTTTTAATTTTTAAGACTGAGTAA